GGGAGGCGACTTAACATTAAATCGGAGTCTATTTCAATACCATAGATCGTAAGTCTCGTTGTGGGCCATACAGTTTTTTCAGGTTAAGAGGCAGTCCAATAGATGCCGCAAGAGAGGAAAAGTTATTAAGGGACTGCAAACACAATTCTGATCCTGCTGGACCAGCTAGAAAGAAATCGTCTATCATATGGCTAACATGAGCACCATGTTTATTGGTCATAACCCAGTGCAAAGGTGAACAAATAATACTCTTAAAGGGAGGTGCTGAAAAGGGGCCCCTAATCCGACCAGCAAAAGACTCTTTTTCTAATTTCTGAACGAATGCCTCTTCATTTTGATGACAAGAATTATGATTTTTAGACACACGGAATTTCTTTCGCCATTAAACGGAATCCGAAAACCTTCCTGGAAACCACGCACTAGGAAGTCTCGTTCTATAGAATCATAACCATCAAGAACATTATACAATTTATGAGGATTTATCGGCGTTGGTAGCCTGTGGCTGTGTGTTTTGTTTGCGAGAGGCACGAAAAGAATTATTCGAAGATTGGATTCGTTCAGAATCGTCCTGATTAAAAACTCTTAGATACATCTGTTCTAAAACACCTAAAACGAGGATGCTTGCCACCACACTTCAGACAGAGATGATTGTACGTACATTTTGTACGCGTACAACCGTTTTTCGGATTAAAGGCGTAACACATACGTTTTTGCTTTGGAGGTTCGATATTTTTTGAGAACGGGCTCCGTAAAGTGTTGTGGCACGCAGCCAAAGTTCAGAATGCATAATTCCCCACTGAAGTGGCTGAGACTGCATGTGATTTCTAAAAGATGAATCATAAAATAAAAATGCCTTTTGGCCATAAGATTTACTCAAATCCTGTATGAGTGCAGAATAGGCTAAAAGCCTCGAATACGAATTTTGATATTTCTGCAAATATATATCCATGAAAATGTGGAATGATTTGAGCCAATTTTCTATGTTTAGCACCTTTGAAACAATCTTTAGAAGTTTGTCATTTCCAGAGTTTTCAATATCGATATTGAATCCTTCAGATGGTCCTTCAGGCAATAACGAGGAAAATTCTACAAAAACTTTCTGCCAAATACAGGATTTGAGCTTATCTGACACATGGGCAGATATACCCAGATTATAAGAAAATATAGGGTTAGAAGTAGAGGGATTGTTCCCAATACTCAAATCAGAAGTACCTGATATATTCCCATCCGAAGATAGGGTAGACGGTATATCTTCAGATGATACAGCCCCCGCTTGTTGATTGGATACCACTTCACTAACTGCCGAAGTTTGAAGAAGACCATGGTTTGAAAGTTTATTAAAGAGTTTATCCACAATTCTATCCTCGGCTTCTTGGGAGAGACTGCATACATGAAGTCCACCATCATCAACTGTAGATCCACCAACAGAACTACTAGATCCTTCAGCGATGTTACTAGATCCACCATTTGACCTTTTCTTCTTAGAATTAGTACTCAAAGGTAATCTGGATTTCCTTTTAGTTTTAGAAACTCTTGGATTGGTTGGTGCCGACATCTAGATACTTCTGAAAAATAGTTGATTTCAGCATGAATTCTCTTGAAGACAAACGATGCACCGATGTACATAATCAGCATTGTGGCCTTAGTAGAAGAATCCACACCGCCATATCTGCAACTGGATTTGCGCCCACATAATTCAAATTTCTTTAGGCCTTTGAAAAGTGGCTTGCTTCAACAAAGTCACGATTAAAAAGGCCTAATATGGGAAGTAACTCTGATATTCCTATAATTGAACACGGGGACGTAACTCAATAACGATAGTTTCCAGACTACACAAATGTAATTATATTCCATAATTATGTATATGTACAAAAATATGATTAGAAACAAATTAAGCGAAAAAATGGACTGATTTGTATGTTTTTAGTTATGGAATTATGAATTTGGTTTTTGCTTTTTCTTTATAATTGAATATAAATTTTCAGTTTTATTCAATATTTAAAGCTATTTATCTCGTGACCTTTTATCTCTTATGACCTTGAGTTTCATATGGCTGAATGAAATAAGACAATATATCTTCCCTATTGGTATTTTGATTGTTTGTTTTCGACTTTAACTTCCGGTTTTAAAGGCGATTGAAAATAGTGAAATTTCTTTTAAAGAGCTCTAGCAACGAACCTATTCAAGTTAAGAGTATAAGACAACAATTCTCACAGAAATTAAATGTACGCACCGAGAGCTCTCCAGTGATATAAATATCATGCAGACCTTACATGCAAATCCAAAATCCTATTTACTTAACATTGTGCAATTATTGTTTATTAAAGATGGGTTTCCTTATATTTAAGTTTCAAATTAAGAAAACTATTTGATTAATTGGTGTTTCTAATGACTTATCATGTATTTTTAAACATAGCATTATGTTCTTATTGCATATAATTAAAAGTTTTAATCAATCATGTATTTACGTCTGGATAAACAAAAAAATAATTTTTGACTTTTCTTGAACGGTCAATGCTGGAAATTCTCTTCTAAATTAGCTAGAGACAAACTGATATTTCTCCAAGTCATAAGAACACCTATACTTTCTCCTCAAATAAGTATTAGCATTTTCATTTTCATAAATAAAATAAGGGAACCAATCTTTAAGCTAAGCAATTACTTGCTATAGCCCATGAATAACAAACAACATACAATAAATAATAACCAAACATTGACACACTATGATAAGTCACATAAATATACAAATTATGTAAAGTATATGCACTAATGACAACTTGTAAATAAATCGAAGAAAACAATCTAAATATAAAAGTTTATGCATGTTTGCACGAGGACAGCCATTGAATAGATAGGATAAATAATTGTAAAGAGTTATTAGTTCTATTTATTAGCTGATTGCGTAACTTATAAATAACCTGGAATATATGGTTTTAATAATAAGTTTTTTTTATTCTCTAAATGACTTTGGATTAAGTATCATTTTCATTTTATGTAAGGTTTTTAATTTTTCATAAAATCTATGTTTACTTAATGCTACTAGGTTAGACGACCAAATCTGATAAAATACTGATCTTAGATACGAGTTTTGATTTCTATAAAATTAAAAAGTTGGGGTTGTGAAAATAAATTTGAAGTAAAACCTGTTTCATCAAACAATTTTCTAATATACGAGTCCAAATTGTGTTTACCATTGACCAACCTTTTTCTTTCTTTTATTTCATCAAACTTGGTAAGCAAATATACAATCAAATTCCAAATTTGATGGATATAGTGAAAATTGAGTTGAGCGCATGCGCATTACCAAAACTCTTATTTCTTATCTAAATTTCATCAAACTTGGTATGTATGTGTATAATCAAAGTCTGAAATTGGTGGAAATATTCAATTTTCGTAGTGCGCATGCGCATTTGTATAATCAAATTCCGAATTCGAAGGAAATATTGATTTTATGTTTAGCGCATGCACATCATTAACTTTCTTCTTGTATAGACAGTTTCCGAATTGCAGGGATATATTGGAGCTTGTGCAGTGGTCTAATCTTCCCACCTTCGTATGTACCTTTTTGTCGTAACACTCCCTGCATCAATACTGTTAAGGGAACAGTTCTAGTATTCTGAATATTTCAGGGTTATCATATTTCAAAGGATTTTCTGTACATATTGATAATGAATTATGTTATCAACATACTGGTAATTCAAACCCTACTAATGAATTCTCAATAGAATGTAGTAGAACTATAACTGGTCGTTATGTTAATATCAGTAATATTAGACCTGGTGAGATTTATCATCATTTCAGTTTATGTGAAGTGGAAATCTATGGTAGGTTTTGTTTTTCTAACTCTTGAAATTAAATATTCCAAATCTTATTTTTAATCATATTATTGTGACCAATTTTTCTTGTGACCAAGTTACCTTCGCACCATATTTCTATAAACAATTTGCCTTGTGGCCATATTACTATGACTAAATCACCATGTTACCATATTACACCTGACCTGTGACCGGATTACTGTGAATATATTTATTGCCTTAATCTTTACAGTTTGTTCACGAGGAACGTATGGTTCAGAATGTAATAATTTCTGTCATTGTTCTAACTATGATAAATGTGATGTTAAAACTGGTCAATGTCCTAATGGTTGTCAGATAGGATGGGATGGTGATAGCTGTAATACAAGTAGGTTATTTAAAAACCAGTCAAAAATTTATTCTAAATTCTTGTAGTTACGCGGAAATTTTGATGTTAAACATTCTTATATCTTCAGCAATTATTAAGCTGTTTCTACCATGTATACAAAATAATTCATTGTCCGCCTTTAATCTTTAATCATCATCCATCTCTCATTCCAGCAACTATAATTATGATGATTTTGGAACAAGATTGATTAATTATGTAGAATATGTGAAGATTGCAGGATAGAATATTACGAACTTCTTATTTCTGATTATGTATCTAGAAAATTGAAAATGATTGATGTACATTTGTCACGTCTTAGTTTAGAGCTGGAGCCGCGGTGGTTCAGTGAGTTAGACGCTTGCTCGCTAACCTGAAGGTCCAGGGTTCAATCCCGGCATAGGTCGAGATAATACCTTCGGATTTTTCAACCCGGCTTCCCCCTGTCAGTGAGGGGCTGACATGGAAAAGCGTCTAGTCGTTCGGATGGGACAATAAACCGAGGCCCCGTGTGCTACAGGCTGTGCACGTTAAATATCCCTCGACAGTTGGAAATCGAAAAAGATCAGGTTAATGCCGCTGTCCTGGCAAAATTTCCCTCATTGCACCCTGCATGGCGTTGCCCGTCTTCATTAGCCCACATGGTGCAGAAAGGTAGGACATAAAACTCTATTCATTTCATTTCATTTAGTTTATATGATGATTATAAATGTTAATTTCAGAATGTGAAGGAAGTTATGGTGAGAATTGTAATAAACAATGTTCAGATAGAAACTGTCTAGATCAATCATCTTGTAATAATATAGATGGTAAATGTATTGGTGAATGTCAGGCTGGTTATAGATCAATCGACTGTACACAACGTAAGTATCACATATCTTACATGAATCCTAATAATTAGTAATATGGGTTCCAAAGTTCACGTTTGATAAGCAGATAATGTTTGGTCAAATTAAATGTATTAAATCGTCTGTAAAAACTGACAAAAATATGCGTTTGTCACCATTCCAAACTACATTTATGACATTTGTATAGAACTGAAAAAGTTTTCTAGAAAATCTAGAAAACCTGGAAGTCAAATTATAATCCCCCTCCCCCCCCCCAAACGGCCTTCATGGTTACTTATAAAGATAACTAAATTACATTATAAATTGGTCACAATTATGATTATGATTGGTCAATGCATGTGTTTGTCTGATTTGTCAAGGATGTGCTGATGGTTATTATGGTTTTGACACTGGTTGTAATAAATTATGTTCAGAGAGAAATTGTAGGGTTACAACATCATCATGTAACCAAATAAATGGATCCTGCGATCTGTTTGGATGTAAAAATGGCTATCAGGGTACTGATTGTACTACTCAAATTTACGAAGGCCTTGTTTACATATGCACACATTTTTCTGAAAAATTTTAACGAATAATGTTCCGAATTCTATCTGTTTTTTCCTGCCTCAATTGTCTATGATTTTTTATTACTCTTTTAAGATAGCAAATTCCAAATAGACTATAGTTGAGATGGTATGAAGAGTTGCATCCACCATACTAGGTTCGTCAACTCTGCATTACAATCTAATTTTTAACTTAATTGGTCAACGTATTCCTTCGTTTTCAGCTGATGAAAGGAAATTAAGTAGTTTGGAATCTGGAGTTATAGGAACAGTAATTGGTATTTTAGTTGGTTTTCTAATAGGAGTTCTTGTTGATCGGTGTTGGGTAACGAGGCTTTTAGCTTTTAAACGCCGTTAATTCTATGGATTTGAAGCCGCAAATTTCGATGGTGAGCTATGAAAACTATTACAGATTAGCTTAGCTAAAACAATTACAGTTTCTGAGACTAAGGTACGATCGATGAAAACGCCTGGTTTGTCTTCCATTAAAGTTAAACGTCTGGATGTGTAAACTTAATATCCAGGCCAATATTAAAATTGTCCATATCAGTTTTTAACGATAAAATATATAATATTGGTAAAATGTAAATAACAACTAAGAGAATATAAGGATTTTGAAATAATAATGTTTGCTGCATGTTATTGCTTTTTTGTCACATTTTCATTGTTCACAGGATTATTTCTTTAAAGGACGACAATCTCTTTCAGATATTTAAATGTCTATAGATCTAATCGTTTTGTAGGCTGTATTTAAAAAAAACTGAAACAAGGTTGGCTATCGTCTAATTTGAAAGTCACAATTTAAATGTTTATGGTCGGCACCACGATAGCACTAACAATAATTTGTATGTTTCATCAATTCAGACTTGCAGCTGTTGGTTTTTATTTTTTTACAAATATTATCAAAGATTATATCCCTGAACTGTGAAATTTGTAGTAATCTCAATTTTTCTATTGTGTCGACTCAAGGGACAATCTGTAAAAGTGTATGTTTTTTGCTTTATATTGCTATTATATTTATATTTTTATTTATGTATAGGACACTTGTATTTGCAATTTGCAGTTATCTGTGTTTCTGCGTTGCTGAAATTATTGAGTAAAAAATCTATAAAGACATGGAGGTGATACACCTAAAGTATTAATAAGATTTTCAACTCATTCAAAATGTTAAAACCAGTTAGACCTCGAATTCGTGAATATCAAGACTCAAAGACCTAGCTTCGCAGGTTAGTTCAAATCAGATCCAATGTAACGAAGACCATTTCGACATGACTGAGTTCTTGAGATTACTTTTCGGCCGGAAGAACCAAAAAATGGTATGTAAGGGATTTTTATATCGAAGTGTAAAAGATTTTAAAACAATTTAACAATTCACCTTATCATAAGAAAGAGTAAAGGATTTTATTTCATATAAAAGATAATATACGACTAATGACAGTTTTTTTTAATGAATAATATTTGGTTGTACAGTAACAATAACCAGTATGATATATTCAACCTTCAGTCCTACACTTTATTTTATCTTTTTGGGATGATACTGAACAATATTATCATGTTTGTCTCGGTTTAAATGATATATACCAAACATTTACAATTCAATTATCTTTAATAATAAACTATACAAAACATTTTCAATTCAATTATCTTTACTAATAAACTATACAAAACATTTTCAATTCAATTATCTTTAATAATAAACTATACAAAACATTTTCAATTCAATTATCTTTAATAATAAACTATACAAAACATTTTCAATTCAATTATCTTTACTAATAAACAATACAAAACATTTTCAATTCAATAATTTTTAATAATGAACTATACAAAACATTTTCAATTCAATTATCTTTAATAATAAACTATACAAAACATTTTCAATTCAATTATCTTTAATAATAAACTATACAAAACATTTTCAATTCAATTATCTTTAATAATAAACTATACAAAACATTTTCAATTCAATAATCTTTAATAATGAACTATACAAAACATTTTCAATTCAATTATCTTTAATAATAAACTATACAAAACATTTTCAATTCAATTATCTTTAATAATAAACTATACCAAACATTTACAATTCAATCATCTTTAATAATGAACTATACAAAACATTTTCAATTCAATTATCTTTAATAATAAACTATACCAAACATTTACAATTCAATTATCTTTAATAATAAACTATACAAAACATTTACAATTCAATTATCTTTAATAATAAACTATACAAAACATTTACAATTCAATCATCTTTAATAATGAACTATACAAAACATTTTCAATTCAATTATCTTTAATAATAAACTATACAAAACATTTTCAATTCAATTATCTTTAATAATAAACTTTACAAAACATTTACAACTCAATCATCTTTAATAATGAACTATACAAAACATTTTCAATTCAATTATCTTTAATAATGAACTATACCAAACATTTACAATTCAATTATCTTTAATAATAAACTATACAAAACATTTTCAATTCAATCATCTTTAATAATAAACTATACAAAACATTTTCAATTCAATTATCTTTAATAATGAACTATACCAAACATTTACAATTCAATTATCTTTAATAATAAACTATACAAAACATTTTCAATTCAATTATCTTTACTAATAAACTATACAAAACATTTTCAATTCAATTATCTTTAATAATAAACTATACAAAACATTTACAATTCAATCATCTTTAATAATAAACTATACGAAATATTTTCAATTCAATTATCTTTAATAATAAACTATACAAAACATTTTCAATTCAATTATCTTTAATAATAAACTATACAAAACATTTTCAATTCAATTATCTTTAATAATAAACAATACAAAACATTTTCAATTCAATAATCTTTAATAATGAACTATACAAAACATTTTCAATTCAATTATCTTTAATAATAAACTATACAAAACATTTACAATTCAATTATCTTTAATAATAAACTATACAAAACATTTACAATTCAATTATCTTTAATAATGAACTATACAAAACATTTTCAATTCAATTATCTTTAATAATGAACTATGCAAAACATTTTCAATTCAATTATCTTTAATAGTAAACTATACAAAACATTTTCAATTCAATTATCTTTAATAATGAACTATACAAAACATTTTCAATTCAATTATCTTTAATAATAAACTATACAAAATACAATTATTACATATATATAAGAAAATATATAAATATCAACAATTTAGCTTTCTTCTGTAACAAACTGTTTCTATAGAAGCAATTCTGTTATCATAAAAAAGCCAATGAAGAATTAGTATAGACGATTGAACGGTGACCATAAGATATCACGATAATTTTCTACTGCCATTACTGCTGTTAATAATTTATTACTAATATAGACCTAAAGATATCAAATGTAAAATTGAACAGAAAATTGTATGTAGTTGAGAGAACAACGCCGGGGAAAAAATCTGCGTAATTTCAAACTTTTTCAACGGACAGTTAGTTTGAGAAATAGAAAAACTTTGGACATCGTCGTATGAACCGTTTTAAACTAAGCACACTACACTTCGTTTGTGGGCGTGGAAATAAGATTTATGCTATTTGAATCTGTCACAATGGAATTCCAGTGTCTTTTACTTTCTCCACATCTTCCTCGACTTCAGAAATGTGTAAAGCTTCTGATTCAATCTCATTCATATATTCAGCACTGTCTCCATAAACTTCTTCAGCTGCCTGGCCATCTACATTGTCGTCATCAGCTTCCAATGGTGGTGCTGAACGGAGAGTTGAGGTAGCAGTCATTGTTTCGTCATTTCTCTGCATCACTTCAAAATTCTCATACATGTTCCCATCTGATGGAGATAAAATTTTAAATACATGCATGGTAAGTGGTCTGAAATTTGGATAATTGAAATCGGGATCCTACATTGAAGTATATTAGACCTCCTAGTATATTGCACATTACCAATCATTTTCATGCGAGTTACAGTCAAAAAATATTTTCAAGCTAGTTTTCCAAAACAATTGATATCACTGCGACAAGAGTTATCAGTACATAATTCGAGCTCATGTATAATGTATTACATTTTTGATAAATTTAAATGATCAACCTGTTTTTTTATTCCTTTTAATAGCTCCCCGAATTTCGCCATCTTTGTCAGGCCGTAGTGATCGTCTTCTCCGCCTATGGAATAATATTTTATAGTAATGGACGCAATGATTTCTATACAAGTATTTGCTTTAATCAATATGATGCTATGAAAATCTGCGCGAGTTCATTTAAGGATTGTTTTAAAAGTATAACATAGTTATAGACAAATTTGTATCAAATTGAAGTTTGACAGGTTGAACGAGGTTGAAATAGCAGCATTTTTTAAATTTCAATATCGAAAGTAATCACTGTATTCGCTAGGAACTACTGCTATGCGGTGATTCACATACGACATATTTCACTTTTTATTTTGAATTAAAAACATATGAAAATAATTTTTAATTAACAATTACAGGATCTATTACTTATGAATTAACAACTTTAAATATTGAACTCACCAAATTATAAACGATATTACAGCAATGGCAACCAATAGGACAACAGCAACTGTCAGAGAGATGGTTGTAGTTTGAGAGTTGTCACCTGGAAAATTAAACATTGGTTATAAAATAGTACAATATATATCAAAAATTACAGGCGAATCAAACTTAATCAAATGTGTTAAGATTGACGAATCGTTCTGGTTACTTTGATGTTTTATACCATAGTAATTTAAACTACGTCATGATTTATTTTGGAATGACAATAAAATTAATGTATTAAAAAAAGTGCATGCAGCATGTGCGAATTTACAGGGTATGTTTTGAAAATATAAATCTTCAAGTGGAACAAGGATAACTCTCCCTCCATTGACATTAATGGAAAACAAAACTGAATTTCCAATATTAATAAATAAATGAAATATAATCTTTGCCAATGGGAGAGAGTACATAAACAAGATGTCTGCTAAAATATGCAGAGCTGGCTATTCTTACAATTCCTCTCACAAGGCCTTTTTGCACAGAGTAGAGCATTATATAATTTAGTGGTCAGGAACATTTGTTGCATAACAATTTCTTCAGATCATGACTGACAAGTGGAGTCATTCTCTATCAATTTGCATTTTAATCTGATAGTTTATCAAATTGAAATGTGTTATATTGAAACATAAAACGGTATGTTCAACCTGAAATGGACGCCGTCTCAAGAGAACAATCTAGTCCACGAAAACCTTCGTAGCATCCATTTTCACAGGTACCATTTATTTGATCACATGTTGAATTGACACCTTTACAATTTCTTTCTGAACATAATTTATTACAACCAGCACCAAAACCATAATAACCATCAGAACAACCTAAAGAATCCCTAGAATCATTATTTTATTATATGCCCTAGCATGGTTTCACATCAAGGTAGTAGTAGCTCTGGGAATTACAGGGTAATTTTCCAACAGAATCGTTTCACAATCATCACCAGGCGTCATCACCAGTCGTCCAGCTTTATCAGCTATGACCATAATTTATGGCCAAAGGCGTACCAGAGCAGTCGTAATATTCAAAAGGGTTACAAAGAGGTCGACGGGCTGGAAACCTCTTGTGTTTTGTAATGTTTCACTCCTAATTTAAGAAAGAAACAACCTTTTTATGATGGATAACAACGTGGGTTCGTGGGGATCACTTTCACAAGCTGGTGTTAAAAATTTAATTACGGCCTGAGAGACCAGATAATAGGCAAACTTACGAAAAAAAATTTAAAAATACAGATGTTTGAAAAACACAGGAAAGTTAACTAACGCACAGTAGGCGTACGATAAATAACTTTTATGCTCTATTGAAGATTATAATGTGTAACTAATCTTCATGTTAAGATAAAAATAAAATCAAACATCTATGGTACCTGAAATAATACAACATAAAATATATGAAACTTACTGTTTACATTAACCATTATTCCAATAAACATACAACACAGTAATAGGCACTCCATATTTAGCTAGATCAGAATGACAAAGTCGATATGTTAATGATGTAAAGCCGATATGCTTCTTATGATTAAGAATATACTATGACAGGGACATAAAATAAATTAAATAAGGGTTCATGCAGCAAAATACATTATGAAATTTAACATAATTAAATCTGCTTTCCGAATGAATAGTTATCGAGAACACGTTAAGATTTTATATCCGTTGTATATCTATAATCGGGGGCACTTCTTGTATTCCGTATTCCTATTTAAAATACGTCTGTGGTACCAGTTTTGATCAAATACCATACTCAAAGACTATACTCCAAATAATATTATACCATGTATATGTGGTTTTAATACCATGTGGGGGGTACTTCTTGCTTCACAACTTCACTAGTCTATTAATAAATCTTATCAGTTATCTTACGTGTTCGATCAGTTGATATAAAAAGAAATACAATTCAGAGGTATAGTTTTACACAATATTTGAAGTAAAGGTATTATATCCTGTATTCTGATTTTTTAACACCCTATGAAGATATTTCTGGCTTCATAATATAAAGATTATAACATAACAAAAAGACATTATAAATGATAAAACCTTCTTCAAAAAGAACTTAACCCTTTCTTTCGACGACCATACGTCAATTCATACAATCATGCTCCGTGAAATCGAAGTAAAATAAAAACGCTCAGTGACATTTTTTTCTATGCTACAACATTTATGAGCAAAACTTTGAAATCGTTGACTGTCTTCGAAAAACGCGTTGTTTTGAGTCACACGATTGTTTTCGAGACGATGTATCGCAGATATACTTTTGGGTAGGACAAGGGAACTGTTTTTATACGCCCACATGAAATGCCCTTTTTCTTGAACTGCTCGCAAACACTCTAGAAGGCGCAATTCTTGACGAATTTAGATGAAACTTGGTATGAATGTTTGTAATGAAGGATGAACCCTATCGAAAATCAGATAGATAGAAAAAAAATTAGTATGAGTTATTGCCCTTGTTCTTGAAAATACGTTCAATTTTTAGCATGAAGGCAAAACGCTTTAGAATTCAATTAATGACAGATTTTGACGAAACTTGGTGTGAGTGTTTGTCATCACCCAAGGATGAACCCTAGTGAAAATCAGAAAAAAATCGATACTAAGTATGAGTTATTGCCCTTGTTCTTGTTCAATTTGTAGCCGCAAACAATCTAGAAGGCAAAATTCTTGATGGATTTTGACGAAACTCCGTGTGAGTGTTTGTTATCAACCAATTATCTATCGAAATTCAGAAGAATCGAAAAATATTTAGTATGAGTTTAGTTTTAGCCTGTAAACTCTCTAGAAGTCAAAATTCTTGACAGATTTTGACGGAACTTGGTAATATTATTCAGTATTGCCTCAAAAAGTTCAAAACAGGTGTATGACTGAAGGTTGAATATTTCATACTCTTAATTGTTCCCGTACTGCCAAATATTTTTTTATTTCCACTCTTGGGTGGAACTTTTAGATTTAAAAGAGGATAAGTGAATATATGAGCAATTTGATAATTCCAGTTGTTGCAGAAACTATCAATCGTTGTTTTGTAAAGTTGTTGTTTTCACAATCAGTTTACGGTTGTTTATTTTTCTTTTGTTGTTTGTTGGGTATTAGATACGCCTGACTGTAGTTGACTTTTTTGAATGAAGCGAACTGAACCAAACATGTCAGCCCCCATGAAGTAGAACACATTACATTTTTAATTGTTTTCTAATGTTAGGGAAAGGTTCTTGAAGAAGTTTGTAAGTTATTCTGCTGTTAAAATAGAACTATCGGCATTCGTATAACAATTTTATGTTCAAGTTAGTCCAAGACATCAATTAATTACCAGTTCGTAATATCTATTAGAATCAAGTGTCAATTGAACATTTTCGTTATGAGTTTTTGTGGAATTGCACTAATTGCAGATACCACAGATGTCTGACTGAAAATTGGAATGGTGCAAATTGATACTATCACATATTTTTTTAGAAAACCTCTTTACAGTCCCTTTAATACAACAATCACGTTGGAAAACATCTCTATTTCATTTTCAGATCTTTTATGAGGCACCAAGAATACAAATAATACATCATGGAGTTACTACCAAAATCGCATACTGAATTCGACTCGCCAGAATATTGGGATAAATTTTTTAAAAGACTTGGTTCTAAAACATTTGAATGGTAAGATAAAAAAAAAGATCAATTGATATATTATATATGTTGCATATTTTAAAATAAGATAAATTATAGTCAAGTTTTAAACTGAATGATGTGATGACATTCAACTGAGGAAGTAGCCTACTGTTGTTGTGTCCCTTGGAAGATTTTTCTTTTCCCTATGATCGAAAGTTGATTTGGTGCATTGTGACACACATTACAGAAAGGGAAAAAATGATTAAAGATCTATTTTAAAATTTCTTAGAAATGAAGTGAGGGTATAAACTTTTTCATGAGAGGAAAATACCCCAACACTGACAAATAAATACAAAATTTTAACACAATTCTCTCATTTTGTAGCTGACATATTCTACCACTTTAGATGTAAGAAGACAATAGTGTACTAAATAACCTATCCTAGAAAAAAAAGCAAACCCTAATTTGCAAAGAAATTTTTGTTTTATAGGTATGGTGAATACCCTCAGCTATGTGGAATCTTGCATAAATATGTTAAAACTAACGATAGAATTTTGATGGTTGGATGCGGTAATTCTCAACTTTCAGCAGATTTATATGATGTTGGTATCACAAATATCACCAACATCGACATAAGTGATGTTGTCATTAGACAAATGACTGATAAAAATCGTACTCGAACCGAGATGAGTTTTGTTAAAATGGATGTTACAGAGGTTTGTAATGACTGAAATCAGTCCTTTTTATTGGCACACATTGTTTCCTTTGAGTTAAGTGGGAGTGGTGCCGAATGTACAGAGAATATTGTATTTTGTTTTCTCATAGTTGAATGAAATTTATACAACTATGATTACTCTCTCCAGTGAAATTTAAAAATCACCATATTTTTAACTAAAACCCATAAATCAGTGAGCACTAATATTTTATGTTATTTCTGTCTCAAAGGCTCCCGCGCGCTACTTTCTCACCACACTACTTTCTCACCACACTACTCCCCGTACATGAAGCGCCTTTCGCTCAACTATATCTGACGTCAGTCTGTCGCATGATCAATCAAAATGGTGGACTACAACAGTAATAGTTACGCTTGTCCTTGTCTTTGAATTTAGGCGATCGGAAATTATACAGGCATGGGTAATCTTGCCATAATTTAACAAATTTATCCTCAAGGATTGCTTCTGTCACTACTTCACTGAACACTGCCATCTTTGAATACCAATAACGCATGCGTGTTGTGTTCATCATCTGAGAAAGTCGCGCACGGTTACTCGCATACTGTGTGCCTTGGCCACGAGTGATCAAAATTATCAAACACGATAGATATTTTCCACACGACCACGAGTAGCCAAATGCACACTTAAAATTACCCGACACAAAGCACTACTAGTCGTGAGTAATTAGACCAATGCAACTGATATTTATCACTTATGGTACCTTCTTTCAGATGCCATTAGAAGAAGGAGAGTTTTCTGTAGTTCTCGATAAAGGTACACTAGATGCATTAATGGTGAATACAGACAATGAAGTCGTACTGACTGTAGATAAAATGTTTAGTGAAATACAGCGTGTATTAAAGCTAGGTGGACGTTATATCTGTATCAGTTTATTACAGGATCATATCCTACGGAAATTACTGGCTCATTTTAGTCAAAGGTGAGTTTTATCAAATTTAAATAAGATCTCTTTGCTTCCTGGTATATTGAGATTTGGTTAGAAAAGAAATAAGCTAACTCTGTTTTGTTAGTGATTCTGTGAAAATCAATCTGATGCTCTCATTATTGGTAGTAATATTAGTTAAAGGGACAGCTAGTGTTCACAGCTCACTTTTGAGCCTTTGAATCCATGTGTGTCCAGAATTATCAGTGTTTAAAAGTCATTTTCTACAGTTACTAATTTCTTTTTACAATTTTCTACAGATCAGTACTTAGATATCTTGTGATACATAGATATATCGCTTATTTCAGAGAACATCTCCCATATGTCTTGAAAAATGTGTTGAATATGAAGTAAAAACTTTGAACAGCCTCCATAATGAATAATAGTTTGAATTATTGAGCAATAAGTAAGAAATACACTTCGATAGAAACTTCTGATTTTTTCTAATTTAAATACAAATGTTTAGGATTACTGAAAATTTTTGATGTGTTTATTCCGTAATGTATTGTTTTGATTTGTCCTTTTTAGTGGTTGGCCAATCAGGATTCATAGAATACATTCTGGGAATCCTGCAGATTCAGAATTCCAGTTGCCAGTCTTTGCTGTTATTTGTACCAAGTTTAAAAAGATGGAGGGCATGAAACAGGTTTGTGCTGATCGTGAATGTAGTCTGGCCAATCGACTGTGAATGCATTTTAAAGTTTTCAATAAAAAATAGAGAATCCACTGCCCTGGCAAAAGTTCTCTAATTTGGAGCGAAAATTTTTATTTCATTTCATGTTTTTGATAATTAACATGATATACTAGCAGTAGAGTTTCAGAAAATATTGTTGAATACCTGGAAAAGACTGAATGGTATTGGATCAAATAAGACCAAACTTTCATTCTGTTTTTATTAGCTTTTAATGGCTATATTAAAAATGACAGCTAAAAAAATGGAACGAAAGGCTGGCCTAATATTAATAAGACATAAAAAATAACAATAGATTTATGAGTGAGAATTAAGTTGAATCAACACGCATAAAAGCGGAGTGGTATTTTGGAACGATAGTTGCATCACTATTACTGAAACCCATTGGAAGAAGGATTATTTAAAAATCTTGAATTGCTAGAAATTTGTTAATGTTTCATGAAATTAAGAAGTTGGCAGAAAATGTTGGGAATTGTTAAAGAAATTTTAAAAATGTTTTCAGGACCTTTAATGTGTAGTGGGCTTGGGAACACCTGTAGTGTATGTCAACACCATTACACTATCTTGTCAGACATACATGGTTCCTATAATTCCATAGAAAACTTCAAATAATTATCTTCCTGATGAACACACAAATTCAAGAAAGCCTCTTTCAATCCCTTGAATTATTTCAGATTTTAGAAATCTCTAGTTTTGAAGATAAAATTGAGAGAGTAGAAAAGGTAGATAACTTAGTAAATGTTGTGAAAGAAATGCAGTACTATGGTATATTGAGGGAACAGATATCTAACAAGTAAGACGAAATTAATACTGAATTCAAAATTTTATTGTGCATGTACAACTATCTGGAAGGTGAGTTAAATAGACGAAAACCTGTTCCTCAAACCTTTTCATATGTTGATAAAATATTATTTACAAATAAACTTGTGACAGTTTTCAAATCAAATGGATTATTTATCATATAATTCAAAAAGGGAAAAGGAAAGCTCATTATAAATTACTTCAAAAGTGATGATTAAGATGATTATCCAGTCATATTTTCTACATTTGGAGTCGTTATTATCTTATTGTCCAGGAACTGAATTTATGGAAGCATATGTTCATAGATCGTGAAGCGCTTAAAGGTGATGTTATTTCAGAGATCTAATTTCAGAAATCTTAAAGTTCAATTTATTTTCCAGCTCGATGAGTGGACATCAACCATCATTATGTCTGTATAATGAAGTGGTGAAAGCTCCTAGATATACATTGTACATAGTAGATAGCCCCAAACCCTGTGTTAATAAATTTGCTATATTTATAGCTCCAGAAGGAAGGTAAGCACTTTAAGTTATTGCCCTTGTTTAACGTTGGTAGTAATCAATATTATTTCTTTAATAGTTTTTCCACTAAGATATAAGTGTTTAAAAATATATTATGTACATTGGTGCACACCGTCACTTCAAGCTCTTCCAAATTGATTGTATATATTATTATTTTCTAGAGAAACAGACTGGTTGTTTAGTACAGAAGCCGGTCGGCAACAACTGTCTTCTAACGCAGGGTTTCAACGTTTAGTTGTGGTTCTCCTGGATAGAAATCATTCTTATCAAAGTCTGAAGAGTATACAAGATGAGCTGTCAGCTAAAGTTATGGAATTGGCTCCTCCTTTCTACAGACCTGGCATTAAGGTATCTTAAATGTCTTGTATAATACTACAAAATCAGTTTTGTATAATACTACAAAATCAGTTCTGAATTTTATATTTCAGGCCTGTATTATTATATTATTATTATATTACAGAGTCAGTCCTTTATTATAATAATAAGTCCTGTTTCATAATAAATTATCAGTCCTGTTTCTTATAGACAATCAATCCTGTTTAATAATATAAAAAAAATTAGTCCTGTTCAATAATATAAAAAAATCAGTCTTGTTTAAAAATATAAAAAAAATCAGTCCTTTTTAATAATATAAAACAATCAGTCTTGTTTTTTTTTTATAGAAAATCAGTCCTGTTTAATGATATAAAAAAATCAGTCATGTTTAATAATATAAAACAATCAGTCCTGTTTCTTTATAGAAATCAGTCCTGTTTAATAATTTAAAAAAAATCAGTCCTGTTTAATATTATAAAAAAATCAGTCCTGTTTAATATTATAAAGCAATCAGTCCTGTTTATTAATATAAAAAAATCGGTCCTGTTTAATAATATAAAACAATCAGTCCTGTTTCTTTATAGAAAATCAGTCCTGTTTGATATTATAAAAAAAATCAGTCTTGTTTAATAGTATAAAATAAATCAGTCTTGTTTCTTTGTAGAAAATCTGTCTTGTTTAATAAAAAAAATCTGTTGACTCCTGTTTCATGATTTTTTGATACAAATTTATTAATGTAATCACCCCCTAATGTTTAAACATATCTATAGTATTTTTTTTCCAATTTTAGGTACCATTTCTATCTCTGGGATCTGATATTGGTAAAAGAACAGTACGTAAGAAATATATGAGTGAAAGTGGTGGTGACTATATTGTAGAAGACGTTGTTGGTGATGATGGTCATATCTTCAGACGACTCATATTTTTATCCAATCAGAGTTTGATACAGTCAGAAGTTAAACTTGTTGTAGGTAAGTTTATCAAGTGTGAAGTCATATTTTCTGGGTTTCCTTTAAAACAGTAGTATGCACCAATTTTCACTATGTATTTTGAAATATTTATATGTAGAGTTAAACAATAAAAGTTAATGGTGTAAAATGTTGAAATGAACTGTTTTTAAAGGGATTGTAAAGAGGTTTACTAGCCTTTTTATGTGTATCGTGGACACTTTTGACTTCTATTTGGGACTTTCCAACTCTTCATCTTTAAAAGAAATAGTACTAAGCGGAATTCATAAAAAAATGAGATGTTCCATTTTTATGGAGATATGTGAAAAGATTATCTTACAGGAGAACACAAAAGAAATAAAAAGAAAAGTGCCACCTCAGCAGATTTGGTGATAGATAAAAGTTATTTAGCTTGTCAACATCACCACAGTATGATTGGTGGATTAGCCTTTTTACCACCAGAAAGCTTCTTGAAGGGTAAGTAATCATGTTATAGCTTGTCAACATCACCACAGAATGATTGGTGGATTAGCATTTTTACCACAAGATAGCTTCTTGAAGGGTAAGTAATCATGTTATAGCTTGTCAACATCACCACAGTATGATTGGAGGGTTAGCCTTTTTACCACCAGAAAGCTTCTTGAAGGGTAAGTAATCATGTTATAGCTTGTCAACATCACCACAGAATGATTGGTGGATTAGCCTTCTTGCCACCAGATAACTTCTTGAAGGATAAGTAATCATGTCATAGCTTGTCAACATCAACACAGTATGATTGGAGGGTTAGCCTTTTTGCCACCAGATAACTTCTTGAAGGATAAGTAATCATGTTATAGCTTGTCAACATCACCACAGTATGATTGGAGGGTTAGCCTTTTTGCCACCATATAACTTCTTGAAGGATAAGTAATCATGTCATAGCTTGTCAACATCACCACAGTATGATTGGAGGGTTAGCCTTTTTGCCACCAGATAACTTCTTGAAGGATAAGTAATCATGTTATAGCTTGTCAACATCACCACAGTGTGATTGGTGGGTTAATCTTTCTTCTGTCTTGTTAATTGAGACTAAATGAAATGAATTTATCGTCTCTTCAATGCCCTGTTGATCTAATAGAAACCTTCAATATCAAATAATGCCTATTTGACGACAGACCCCATCTTAATGAGCCAGAAATTTATTTGGTTTCTTTTTTCCAGATAAGTCTACAACATGTTTGATTATTGGTTTAGGAGGGGGAGCTCTACCACTCTATATACATCAAAATATACCACAGGTGAGGAACATGTATTATTGATCCAAGGTTCAATTTAAACAGTCAAAATGACCCTATTTGCAATCCAATATTTCTTTTGATAGCAAAGATTAAAAATTTACCATGAAGCTCTTTGAATCAAATCAAAATGAATTTTTTTGGCAAAAATTGTTTGCCATAACAAACTTCTATAACCTTAAAGAACTAATGCCATTTTCAAGATCGATCTGAAGTCTATAACTGAAACATTTTGAATTGCTGGCTTTTTTCATTAGCCAATTAGAAATTTGGTATGATAAATTGCTAATCAAAATTTTCAATCTAAATAGCGTTGATCAGTCAGAGTTTGATATAAGATTTACTAGGTATTGAAATTGTTTTAAGTTATCAATAATTGCATTCATTCATTATTTTCTTGCTAATATTAATGTCTTGTTTCACAGTCATTTTGTTTTGTTCAAATTACTTAAGAGTCATGTTGTATAATCAGATTGGATTCTATTATTATATTTTAGCTGTATATAGATGTAGTGGATATAGACCCAACTATTGTTAAAATAGCTAAAGATTGGTTTGGGTTTAAAAATGACAATAATCTACAAGTTCATATTGCTGATGGTTTAGATTTTATTAAAAACTCTCCAAGTAAAGGTAAAAATTGGTTTATTTGGATTCCAGATGGCAACCTCTTAGCGATTTTCCATCAAATAATGAGCTTCTGTAACCTGCTTCTGTAAACATGGCTCAATATCATATCTTAGAATATCTTGACATAAAGGCATCTGAAACACATCTTTTGAATAATAGATTGACAAAAATTTGACAACCTAGATTGACAGTATTGACAGTCACTCTTCTCTATAACCTTTATAATTTGATATAGGTTGACAATATGTTTGATATATGGACAGTAAACATTCTCTGTAAACTGTATAAATTCTATGTTGACAATATGATATGATAATGGTTGATATTGACAGTGAATCTTCTCTAATGTATATAATTTCTAGGTTGACAGTATGATGTAGTTATATTGATATTGACAGTAAATCTTCTCTCAAAACTATATTTCTAGGTTGACAGTACGGTGTAATTATATTGATATTGACAGTAAATCTTCAATATAATCGATATATTTTCTAGGTTGACAGTATGATAAAATAATGGTTGATATTGACTGTAAATTTTCTCTGTAAACTGCAAAATTTGTAAGTTGACAGTGTAATATAATGATGATAAGTATGATGTAATAATATTTGATATTGACAGAGATTTTCTCTCATAACTATATACTTTCTAGGTTGACAGTATGATGTAATAATATTTGATATTGACAGTGAATCTTCTCTCTAAGCTATATATTTTCTCGATTGACATTATGATGTATGATATTGACAGTGAATCTTCTCTGATGCATATAATTTCTAGGTTGACAGTATGATGTAATAATATTTGATATTGAAAGTGAATCTTCTCTCTAAGCTATATAATTTCTCGGTTGACATTATGATGTATGATATTGACAGTGAATCTTCTGTCTAAGCTGTATGATATGATACGTACTGGGATGAATATTGACTGTAAATGATGTCTATAATCTATATTAATTGTAGGTCAGCAATATGATGTTATAATGTTTGATATTGACAGTAAAGATCCAAGTATAGGTTTAAGATGTTCACCGCCAATTTTTGTGGAAGAAGAATTTTTGAAGACTGTGTCATCTGTTTTGACTGAAACAGGTTTGGTGTCTTATTTTCTTTATTATCTCTCAAGCTAAGAAGGCCAGACAATAAGGTTTTCCCAGATTGAATAACCTAGAGCATTAGGTTTTTCCCAGGTTGAATAACCTAGAGCATTAGGTTTTTACCAGGTTGAATAACCTAGAGCATTAATTTTTGCCCATTTTGAATAACCTAGAGCATTAGGTTTTTCCCAGGTTGAATAATCTAGAGCATTAATTTTTGCCCATTTTGAATAACCTAGAGCATTAGGTTTTTCCCAGGTTGAATTACCAAGAGCATTAGGTTTTTCCCAGGTTGAATAACCTAGAGCATTAGGTTTTTCTCAGGTTGAATAACCTAGAGCATTAGGTTTTTCCCGGGTTGAATAACCAAGCAGGTTGAGGTTCTAACTTCAGCTTGTTGTTTTTGTGGGTTGACAATTTAGTATGCCACATGCTGAGCTCATTAAACACAATCTGAATGTGTTCTTTGCAAAATTTTCCCAATTGCTAACTGCATGACTAACATCATTTCTATTAGTGTCATTTTATTTATAGTTCTTTTAATTTAATTTCAGGTGTATTTGTTTTAAATTTAGTTTGTCGAGATGAAGATTTAAAGAAACACATTACTGATCGAATTAAATCTATTTTTAAAACTGTGTATAGCGTTAAAAGTGAGGATGAAGTGAACACTATAATATATGGACAAAATATGAACACTAGTGATTCCTCCATTGATACTAAAGTGAACACTGTGCACTCAAATGTGAAAAAATTACAAGATTTACTACAGAAAAATGTGAAGAAACCTCATATGAGTCATGTTGATCTTATAGAATCAATGTCAAATTTCAAAATAGGGTGAATAAATTAATTATTCTTAATTAGGTCTAGTAATTTAACCACTTTATAAATCCTGTCTGTAAATCAACAGTGGAATCATCTTCGAGGCCATCAGATTTTGTGGAGCTGTTCTCAGATGCACATTGGTGAATTCATACTCATGGTGCTTAAAAATTCCGATTTGATTCTATACTAATAGACTGATTAATTAAAGATTGGAATATATGGGGATATGACTTGTGACTCTGAATATATTCCAATGAGCTAAAGATATGTTCCTTTTTGATGCAAAAAAGAGGATTGATTTCGTGTTCAAATAAATATTTAATGTGATAAAATATGAACTATATACAATATGTATAAAATAATTTGGTCAAAAATATAATCAATGAATATCCTGCAAGGGTGTAATAGAAGTTTAAATATTTTCTTACCAAAACAATGAATTTTAGTTCTGAAAGGTGCGTAATAGCTAAAACTGAACTTTTTAAGATGGGAAAGAAAATATTAAGACTCCTTTTCATGTAGTTGTTTTTCGAGGATAATCTTCATCAATAATATAACAACAAAATGCAACAAATTTAACTTTATAACAACAGTTATGAGAACTTGAAATCCTTCTAATGCTCATAAGTAACATAATTATGTAAACAAATTTAAACACAGAGCATAAAACATGCTATAACTTCAATTTAAACTTGTTATACCACAGTTAAGCACTGCCCTCCCTTAATACAACAAAAATATCATAGGAATATATTGATACCTTATATATTTGATTTGGCACTATAAAAGACAAAACTATTGGTCAATTTGGTCCGGAAGAATGGATGGAGTTAAACATGTATTGCAAACAATGGAATGAAAGAAATACAAAATTTCTTGGAGATATGGCACTATAAAATAGTAACAGATGAGTATTGGTAAATAATAAAAATATGGTGCAAGGTGTCTTACATGACACACATACCAGAATCTTGTTACTTGCTTTCATATTTCCAACACCAGTTTTGAATAAAACCAAATAAACACGAATTGTCAAGCAAAGATATTTATGCATGGGGTATGATTCAAAACACAAACAATCTCTATCCCTTTCAGGTAGAATGAGTATTTAAGAAAAAAATTTACATCTGGTTGATACAGCCATATACTACTTATCCTACCTCAGGAAAAAATAGACTGCTCTTGTTAATGGTTAGAATCAGACCAGGATGTACATTAATAACTTTGCTTGAAATGTCAGAGTTCCAAAAGATTTACTTAATTTTTAAATTCCAAGTGGTCCATTGTCAATAAGTTATGTCTTTAAATATATATTAACTTTCATAATGTCTTTTACCATCTAAATATAACATAGACTCTGAAATGAAAAATGCAATAATATGATTTTAATACTGCTTAAATATTTTGCAAACTTTGATTTCAGAGCAGTTGGCATTCATGGTGAATGATTCACCTCTAATGCAGAATGGTAGGACTGCCATGAACATATCTCATCCTTGATATCTATCATTCTAATGTACATTTTGTAGGTTCATATTCAGTGGACTTGAACATTAACCCAACAGGCGTGTCAGCCATATATTGCAAATGCAGAAAATCTGTTTCACTACAAACTTATTTAATGCCATAAAACTGCAGCACTAGGACGTCAATCACTATTCATAGCCATTTCCATAGTTAATAAAGGTTGGTTCTTCTAAAATTTGACAAAAGCATTCCACGCCAATTTACATTCTCTGCATATAGTCATCAACGAGTGCTATAGATAGCTGAAATTGAGATCTATCAGCTAATATTTAAATAACTTCATCCCTTTAATTTTAACCTACCAGCATATGTTTTAGGTATAACTTGTGGCAAGTCATCACATTTACTGTCAAATGTAAAGTGAAAGTCATTTGTAGTTTCTCTTGAACCAGATTCAGGAACTACAACTTCAGCATGAACTTTGACCTGCATTTTTGACTGTTCTGTGTAAACAACCTAAATGATATACAATTCAACATAATAAATATTTGGAAAAAAAGGATTTTATAATCAATGAAGTGTTCTGAAATTAAATGAAAGGGATTGAACATCTTACTTTTAGGTTGCACCTTTTTGAACTAATGAGGACAGGCAATGCAAGCAGTTTGCAATGAGGGAAATTGCACAGGACAGACATTTTTTTTTTTTTTAACTGTCAAGGGGTCTTTAACTTGCACTGTCTGTAGCAAACAAGACCTGTTTATTGTCCCATCTGAACAAATGGATGCTTTTCACCAGTCAGACCCTCCGACCTGCATCACTGCATCAATCTGACGTATTATCCCAACCTTCTGATGGAATTGAACCCTTGACTTTCGGGCTAGCATGCAATCCTCTAACTCACTGAGCAACTACTGCTCCCGAGTGAATTTTGTGACTGATTCACATGATATAATGTATCTGAAGAAAGGGGAGGTTTTGGTCGACAGAGAATAGTTAGATTATGTAAAAGCATACAAACCAACCTGTGAAGAAAGAAATAAGAGTGATCCAATTTCTACAGGTTTTCTAAAAGCTATATCATCCACAATCCTTACCAATGGTCTTGATTTACTACAATAATATAATTGGCAATATAGTTAAAAAGAAAGCAACAGATTGTGTTCAAGAATATTATTTAAAACCAGATCACTGGATTAGCATTAGAATAACAAATTGAGCTTTAAGCCCTAATTTTCAGCAATGTTTAACATAACATACATTCAATGCCATATAGTGTGCAGTGAGTTTTGCCAGGATAGCAAGTTATCACAGTTTATAGCATGCTTTGCCTTGATTTGTCCTAATGGAAAGAAGCTTATTCACAGTCAACCCCTCTGACTAACATCACAGGAGGAGACAAACTGAAATATCCTTCAGATTCAAAACTATTAAAGATGGGTTTCCTTATTTTCTAGTGTCGAATTAAGCAAACTTTACTATCTGATTAATTGATGCTTCTAATGAATTATTATGTATTCTTAATCATATCTAGTTCTTATTGCACATAATTAAGAGTTTTAACCAATCATAAATGTCCATGTATGTACAGTCTGGATAAACAAAAAAAAGACTTTTTGACCTTTCTTGATCATTCAAATTTTTATGAATTAATTATGGACATGTGAGACAAACTGGTATTTGTGTAAGTCATAAGAACACCTCTATTTTCTATTCATATAAGTATTAGTATCTTAATTTTCATAAATGAAAATAAGGGAACCCATCTTTAATGGCTATACCTGTAAGTATTTGAGAAAGAAAATGTGAGGAAATAATACCATACCTATATAGAGCAGCATTAGCCCAGGCCAATTCAAATGCTATTCTCATTATATAACCTCCAAATATCTTGTTATATAGGTTTCTATTCTACAATATTCAAATACAAAACATAGCACTGTATAATTCCATAGAGATGATGTTTGAATTATATATATTTGTCTTAAAGTGTTCGTAAGTGGTTTTCTACTCTTTATATTATGTGCAAGTGACACTAAAATTAAGTGTTTTATGACATAGCTATCGCTAAGAATCCTATATATTATATTATGGCAGCTTTTGTGATAATGATGTCATAAAATGCTTAGTTTCAGCGGAATGCCACAGGTTTGTGATTGAAAATTGAAATGATGCAAAACAAATCTATCATTGTGCCCTGTATAACTAAAAGGTTTTAAAAACCTTCTTACAATCCTTTTAAAGTGAGGGAATGTTCAAACTATATGAACCTCCCCCCAAAACTAACCTCTGGGTGGCAAATAAACAGGTTTTTTAATATAGTACTTTCCATCCACACACTGTTTTCAGGTTTGACTCTAATCCTAAACGTTGAAGATCTGAAAATTTGAAAAAACAAAATTATTACAGATGATTGTAAGATTTTAAACATCTACATCTACACAATATAATGGTATACTACTCCTGGATTTTAATGAATTAATAATGAAATCTTTCCAAAAAAGAAATATACAAGTACTTGAGATCTATGGTTTGTTGAAATTGATTATGAATTAGTAATGTTTCCTCTTCATTTGGTGGTGTTTTTAATAATGATATCTGAGCATCTCTTTGTCTGATGATCTTATTTCCTACAAAATATCAAAATGCTTAGCCACACAAAATATTAAAATGTTATCAATATAAAATATCAAAATATTATCCATACAAAATATCAAAACTCATAGTCATTCATAATATTAAAACTTTAAGCCATACAAAATATTAAAATTCTTAGCCATTCAAGATATCAAAACATTTTGCCATAGAAAATATCAAAGTTTTTAGCCATTCAAAATATCAAAACATTTAGCAATACAAAATATTAAACTCTTAGCCATTGAGCAGTTAAAACAGCAATACAAGGCATGCTCATTCTTCTAAAACAACTGATTCTTCTTAGACACTTGGTTTTGTTAACTCAGCATCCCTTTTGGGAAATCCTCATAGATGATAATCTATTTCAACTGGTCAATTTTTCATCTGTGACAGTAATGACATTTTGGAAATACCATGCAAAGTTTCATAGAAAACTCAAATATTTGCTCAAAGGTTAGAACAACAAAATAATAAAAAATACAGCTTGGAGCTAAACTTACTTTCACCAGCTTGAAATATTGCCTCTTCTTCTGGAGTATTCGGTTTTAGAGGATTGACTGCAGCAGAACTGAAAATATTAATATCAAAAATGGTAATGGCCCAACTTTCTTTAATAGAACACATTAGCCCTTATAGGTTTTCAAATCAACAGTGACAAATTACTACTGCCAAAAAATTGTTTTATTCTCATGGTTACTATTTCAAATCTTGTTATAGTGGTTTTTAACCTACACTTGTTCATACTAATTCATTAATGCAGAGAAAAATGTACAAAATGTCCTGTAACAAATAAGGTTAATACATTCATGTTTTTTCAAACTTGCTTTTGTTGTGTGATATAGCTTGGTAATAAACATAACAACATCAGAGCATCTTACCTTCCCGTGAGTGGGTTCCTAGCTACCATAAGAAAGCGGGCATTCATCAGCTTCTGCCATTCATCATTTACAATCTAAAAACCATATGTTGAGAAAAATCTGTTTTTAACATTGCTTAAATCAAAACAATCTTTTTTGGTTTTGAGCATTCAAATGAACAAAATATCTTAAGAACAATTATCTGAATTCCCCCAACAATGATCCTCAAGTGTTACTTTCAAGTTTACCAAACATCACAACGTTATTAAAACCATTATTATTACACTTAAAAAGATGAACTTGTTTGTACTGGTTTAAACTAGATATTACCTGTTGAACTGCCATTGTAACTTCCATTGAAGATGTACCAACCCATGTTACATTACCAGTTAATTTAATATCAGATAAAGCTGTTATTTTTTGATCTCCTAACTCTGTACAAAATCAAAATATTAGTTTGATAACCATAATGAAAATTTTGAAAGAATCCATTACAAGAAAATGTATGAATGAGCACACACTTATGAGAGATTATCCATTCAAAATCCAACAGATGAGAAAATAAAATCTACAAAATAATATGCGTTTTGAATTGCAGTAATAAAATGAAACTAAATGGAGTTTTGCTTTAGGTTTTTTTCTTTTGATTGGTCTACGAAGTTGGGCAATGCGGTGTACACTGAGGTAAATATTCCATAACAACAGCATTAGCCTTCTATTTCTGAAGGGACTTTTATCATGAACATCATATAGCGCATAGAACCCTTGGTTAACTTTCAGTGATTTTTCTTAATTACAGTGACAAATCCCGAAAGTATCATTTTTAGCAATTGGTTCCAGCTGCAGATTTCAAGTTTTGCTAAAAAGCACCCGAACCACCACATCAAAACTGACAAACATCTACCTCTTAACAACATTGCTTGTTTTTTAAAGGACATAATTACCTATTCTATCCACCAAGGCTGTCACAGTACTTAATGGTGATTTCAGACCTTCACCTCTTCTGTTGTGAGTATAACATATAACACCTGAAAACAAAGCCTATGTTGAAACAACGACCTGTATGAGAGATTGTCTACAAGGATGGAAGAGGCTTCAATATTAATTTCCTTGGTACAAATTTGTTTTATTGTGGATTCTAACTTCAAATCTGAATTCTGAAAAGTGTTACAGATATCAGAAATCCAGCTCAGCTATGATATCCATTAAAGCTAGGAGACCATGTGTGAGAAGACATTTAAAATCCAATACAGTTGAACAGGTTTGGGTCTAAATTAAAAGACTTACCAGCAAATGTATCCAAATCTTCTAACAGTCTGCCAAATCTGATTCCTTTATAAAAGTTGGTGTATTTACTGCGGAGAGAGATATCAGTGCCAAGTGGTATATAGACCTCACGATAACTATCTTGTAAACTCTTCACTGGTAGACCATCTTGTTTTTTAGGTATATTCTTAAATATGGAGTCCTCAGCGATTCCTTCTTTACTACTTCTATAAATCAATCATAAAATACAATTTTACATTGCACAAAGAAGGGATAATTTTTTTAATAATTTACTGTTTTCTGTTAAAAATACAAACGGAGTAACAAAAAAATTCAGTATCTGTCTACTATAATATTTATGCAAATACAGAAGGATAAAAATTATTCTTACGAAAATTCAGCATTTAAACCAACCATTTCCATTAACATTGCCCTTGCTGAAATTTGAAAAATCAATTTTCAAATTTTCAAATTTATTTTTCAACTACACATGCACTATTTATGATAGCTTCTTTTATGCTGTATCAAAATTAATATCCTTGAAAATCTGCTCTGGTGCTGCATATCTACAATCCAATTACATTTCTTGCAATTTGAGTTGTCTTTATTGCTTGGTAAAGTGCGTTCAAATCCTCATCAAGATAAGAAATTTTTAATGTATATAAGCTTACATAATAATCCAAAGTAGTGCCTACTTTTCCATAGGTATTCGATAAAAAAAAGTCTGGATTAATCATTTGAACACTGATGGTTTGAACATTGTCATTTGAAGACTGTTTGTTTAAACATCGTTCTGATTAATTTGATCTGAGTTATTTGATCTGAATTATTTGAACAGAGTTGCTTGAACAGTGTTGTTTGCACAACATTCTTTTAACATTGACAGCATTTTTTCAACATTGACAGCATTGTTTCAACATTGACAGCATTGTTTCAACATTGACAGCATTGTTTCAACATTGACAGCATTGTTTCAACATTGACAGCATTGTTTCAACATTGACAACATTGTTTCAACATTGACAGCATTGTTTCAACATTGACAGCATTGTTTCAACATTGACAGCATTGTTTCAACATTGACAGCATTGTTTCAACATTGACAACATTCAAGATGATTGTTTCAACAGTAATTAATTTCAGAATTAAAATTTTACCTTGTACCATTGTCATCCTAGAATCATTGTTAGATGAAATATTTCTTGTGAAACAACAACTAGTAAATTGGGTTTCACTCCGCACCAGAGATCTAAACAATCTGCAAAAATAATGATGGTATCTTGGTGTGCAATTGGCCTTGTTTTGAGATATCATTGCTTAAGCATCTTTATCAAGAAAGAAAACAAATAATCATGGCCAGATACTAAAACATTGCTAGAAATATCTATCCTGGATAATCCATTCTAATATTGGCTCCTCAAACTACAAGTACTATCAAGTGTTTTGAAAAGATAAAGCATGGTTTGCTTTGTGCAAGATATTCGCCACTACTATAAAGGTCAGAATAATGAGATACAACCAGATTCATTCCTGACGAAACAAATATACCAAAATGCAATTAGCAATTTTGGTGTAATTTTCATGGTCAGTTCTCTATAAAGATCATAAAATGTTCTACATGACATTTGAAGATTGTGAATCAAGTAACAGTGTTTCAGAAATTTCAAGGTTAATTCTCGACCTCTAGCTGGAAAATCTTCATAAAAAGAAGTTGTGAAATGAAAGCTTACATATTATAAGCTTGTTGGTGTGGTTACTGCACATGAATGGAAAATTAACCACTTTTGTCATAGAGTTTGACACAAAGATTTATAACTTGTACATTTAATGTGACATTGATTTCGAAGGAATATTTTTATTTTATCAATGTTACTGAAATGTTAATGATTTCACAATAAACTTTCTTGTTTGTTTATCATTCTAAAAGGTCAAACTGTCTTGTTAACTTTTTTGCATTTATCACTGAACAAAAACAGCTACCTCTAATCTAGCCTCTGATGGCTAATTTGACAGATGATGGCTTGAGTATAGTCAGAAAAACTTGGCCATATTTTATGGGGATTTTCCACACCCCTAAAATATCTATCTAAATCCGCCAAACCCATATATATTGCCAAACCCATGTATATTCATAGTTCCGTCGCATCATTATCCTCCTACATAATGGTTTTATCAGATTATTTGTAAAGAAACTCATTTTCACCTGCCATCACTGCTGTCTGCTACTTTTGTTGTGCTAATACTGGGTATCATTTGACCCTGTGACCTTTTGGTTACTCATGCAAGCTGGTGACTAGTGAGAAATAACTTTTACGTCCTACTCTTCTGTACTTTGATGGAACCAAAGATGTTACATAAATCTATACAGTGGTGTCACCTATTTTCGTGGATATAAGGATTCAACACCGAATTTCGTCAAAGTCAAAAAAACGAAATTTTTTTTTTTATGTCTTAAATGTTTCCTCAGATATTCTACAAAATAATTAAAATTGGTTTATTTCGATTTTCTTTATGAATCCTTCACTTTGACCCATATTTCATGAGCAACCAACTCGACAACTGCGGCAGAATGCGTCACCTATTTTCGTGTACAATGTTTGATCTATAAATAAGTCGAGAAAAACACGTTGTATAGATAACACTTTGTGTTCCATAGAAATTTTCTGCTGACACGGAATCCGCTAGTTGATCACGTGACTTCATTCGTTGGACTACATTCTAGCAGACGACACTTGGAATTCCGATTACCGCTTGGGATTATAAGGAAATTCGGCCGATAAAAAATGGTGACGTTTGGTGATAATTGAAATCCGCCATTTTGTATTTGTCAAAGTATACATTAAAACATTTTACCTTGCTTGAAACTACTGGATTCATTCTACTAGCTGATATTGTACAGAAAACCCATGTTTTTCAAAACAAACTAATGCGGAGGTCGCGCAAAGTCGCTCATGTAAATTATTAACATTTCCGGAAATCCACGAATAATAGGTTTCCACGAAATTAGGTTACTTGACTGTAATGATCTATGATAAGGATAATGGATGGTACAAAAATATCCATCTTTCCAAATATTAGACTGAAACATCTGTCTCTATTCCAGCCTTTGATAGCTATTTTGGCAGATGTAGACTAGAGAGAGATTAATGGGCCCTGTTAAATGGGAACAGAAGCTGAATAAAGGCAGATGCTTCGGACTACCACTACTGGCGTGACGACGTAGGTTACCGACGAGGCCTATCTATTGAGACCGGTAGCCACATTATCTCATCATTCGAAGCCTTTAAGAAAAGGAGATTTAGCCTCCACTATCTATTAGTTTCAAATACAAATGTAATTTAATCAAAGACAAGGTTAGAGCTATACAGATTTTGCTATATCTTGAAATTTCTTATAATGTAAGTTTGTTTACATACCTAGGCGCCGCCATTTTGCTTTTAAAAAATATAACGGATTGATGGTGACATTACGCGTCAGAACCAGATTTGATGTCATTTATGACGTATGTATCTTTATTTTGTCAGCTTTTAAAAAGATAACATTAGAGTTATATTACTATTTATAAGTCTATGCATTAGCCAAAGGTTTTTTCACAGACTCATACATAAATATCTGACAGCAAAATAACTTCATAAATGAGGAATAAAGTGATTTTATTTGAAGTTTTGAAAATGGTAATGAGAAAAATGTTCCCAGATCATGCTGAAGATATGGGAAATTAAGATGAGTACGGAGTAGTTGTTGGATTAAGGTTTTTAGATTTGATTAACGTCGGGGTAAAGCCCTTACTTATAGCAGTTGGAACCTATGTATGCAAATAACCAATCTTATTAAAATAAAATTACAATTTTTTTCCCAGATATTTTTTTTGGGGGACTTGGACCAATTGATTAAATAAGTTAAATTCTCTACAATAAATTCCAGTTCAATATAAAAAAAAAATTCACCTTTGTTACGGCTTTGGGAAGGTTTTTGAAATAGATGCAAGATTACAGAGATGCTCTTTGTAACCAAAATGACTGTAATGTAAAATTCTAACCCAGGGATGATAGGTGATATGAGAATATTGTATAAAAGCACAGGCCAAGGTCATGCATCTTCGTATTGTCAAGCTATTATGAACTTGTGAAGAGGCGATCATGAAGGTAGAAGTGCTTTTTAAAATTTAGTTTAATCAGTATATATTCAAAATAAAAAAAAAAGGTGGCATTTTATTGATATCCGAAGTCACTATAACACTCTGGCAGTAGAGAATTTTCTTCCATGCAATCTAAGTCCCATCTGATGGGTCTAAAAGTTTTGATTCTACAGTTAGTTCATTTGTGAGTAGTTCTAGGGTTGGCTTTCAATAATATTGTTGTAGACAAAATCAAATGAAAGGTCATTTTCACTTGTAGCAAAATGTACTTAACCATTTTGCAAAAATAACACACAACAAATAGTTTTCAACTTTTTACTTTAAAGGAAAAATAACTGAGTTTATCTCAAAGAATATCAAGAAGAAAAAAATCATATTTGAACATAACAATGTTTTTTTTACACATTTTGTTATCGGAAATGAAAAAAAAAACCCAAAAAACAATAAATTTCCATTGGACAATAACATTTATGTCACAAATAAACAACAGTCAACAGAATTCTTGAAAATTAACACATGATTATCAGCTTAAATTTGAATATTGTGGACAATAAGCTTAAATATCAAAATATTTCAGCTGAATAATAACAGTATATAAAGAGTTTATTTCTTGGACATTTTAATAGCTTTACGGGGTGGTTCCCAGCGTAAACAAGAACTATCCACAGTTATAGGAGGTTTCTTATACTCTGCACTTTTTAAATGTTCTTCAACTAATTTTGGTGTCACACAAATAACATGTTGTCCCTTCCAATATTTCACCATGTTCAGGGACTGTAGTGTACTGATAATGTCATTTTGAGTTATGCTTGTCATTCGACTTAGTTCCTTGATTGTTAATGTTCCTCGGAAATCTCTCATAATTTCAAGTAGAACCCACGACCAATAACTTCTGTAGCTGAGTTTTCCCAAATCTGACAATGGCTTCTCAGGTGAGCCCACAGTACCGTCTATCTTCGATATTTCATAACTGAATGCTATGATAAATTTTCCATAACCTTTCCTTTGAAATGGTGGGAGTGTCAATATACAAGCAACATTGTTTCCATCTGGAGACTCTTTTTCTTTCGAGAAATAACCAACCAAGTGGCACCCAGCTCTGTCCACTTCTGTCAAAATGTAAAACAAGAATGGTTCAACATCAAAGTATAACGTTTTGTGATCAAGAAACAACTTTGCTAAAAGACATAAATTTTGACAGTAGATCTTTGCTTCTTTTCCATCAACCTCAAATACAGAAATAGTTCCTCTACGATATATTTCTTTGCCTGGAGGTTGGCGTTGAAAGCATTGAGTTTGATGATATCTGTAGGACTTCTCAAGGCGCATGTACTTCAAACAATATTCACAAATCCACAACTTTGACTGTTTGCCATATTCTTCTGGGAATGGTGAAAAATACCAGGCGTCAATCTCATATTTCCCAATCTGGATCTTGTCTATATATTTCACTTTGGTGATTGCTTCATGCTCTTTTTCCAAAGCAGCTGTGGTAGGGTCCATTTCAGCATAGGTTTTCTGTATGTGATTGATTTCATCATGCTTTCGCTTCTGATTTCTGGTGATTTTTCTGTCGGTGCCATCTGATAAGTCAGTTAAAGAAATGCTCAGATCCTTCTCCTTGGTAGTTTGTTGATCTTCTATCTTGCTATGTAAATCAAATCTGTCAAGCTCAACCCATTCGTCAAGTCGTCGATTAAAGCCGTCGTAATGAACATAAAACTCTGGTTTTCCTCCTGGCTGGTCACTTTGTCTGGTTTGAACGATTTCAGCAGCATGCCAGGTGTTATCAGGTCGACTAACCAGAAAATGATCCCCTATTCCAGGAATAATATCACCAGATGTCTTAGAGGCTGATTTTTCATCCGATTTTGGGGCACCAGAGACCTTGTTATTTGCTGTATTTGCAGACAAAGATGAAGTTTGATTTTTTGACGCCATTTCTGTGGCCATTGTTTTGGTTTATAATTTCAACCAATCGTTTGACTTTATTTATTTGGCGCGATTCACTTGAAATATTTTGTCGAATCTGGATAATTTTTATGTCCGGATTTCACCTCCGATACATTTAAATGAAAAACCAAAATGTAGGATGTATGAATGTTTCATGATTTAAAAAACAATATTTTTCAATTCTCGGAATAATTTTGTCCTTGTCTTGAATAATGAAGATTAATACAAGAAAATATAAACGTTGTAAACTTTTTTTATTCGAATTTTTTTACTCCAGTTTCGAATGTATCATGCAGTCGTATCGACCATTATCAAAATCGCCCAGAGAGAGTACAAATTCGCCCCGAATTGTTTCGGACTATTAGATCACGTGACCACAACAAGTAAAGATGGATGCAGGTGGATATTTTTGTTGATTTTGATCAATATCTGAATTATTATTGTTTCTACTATACTATTGGGATCGTCTCTAATAAAATGAAGGATAATAATGCTTTGAATTAGCTTCTGGGACATCAACTCTAGACTAGTAAAGTGTGCATTTTGCTTTCACTTAGCCTTACTATTTAAGTGAAAGAAATAGTCCGAAATGTTGGCTATCTACAGTATACCATACAAGGTGTAAAGATATGATATAGGCGTATCGATGCAATTAATTACATTACCGGTATACAATAAAAATATTGACTTATCTTGCATTTTTGATGTTGGAGATAGTGGCAAAACATATTATTCTTAAGAGCTGTGATTTTTACCACTTAAACCACCAAATTACACTTACCTTACAGTTATAATGTGATATCACAATTCTATGATATTTACCAGATATTAGGATTATAATGAAAATCAGCAGGTATCATTGTATTATGATAAATACCACATACCGTCAAGCGTGTCTGCATAATTTTTGTTGCAGGAGAGGTCAGAGGCAATTGGTTATTTCAACATTTTGACATTCAGAAAACTACCAGATTTTGCATGTTTTAGTTTGGAAACCCCGTTTGCACCATTGTAAGGGAGCCCATGCAAATCTTATCACATATGATACTGATCAATATATGTCACGGTCTTATAGATTTTTATAAATTAATTTTTTCTTGAACATTGATTTATTTCAGAAAATGCAAGACTAAGAAAGAAATTAAACAGTTTAGAAGAAGATTATAAGAGATTACAAGATCACATATCTCATATAGAGTTAAAGTATCAAGCTGCTCTAATAAAAGAAGGAGGGGATATTGATGAAATAGATGAAGACTATAGACCTAGTGAAGATAAATTATCTACCAAATTATTAAGAACTGTTTCTGATCTTTTTAACAATAGACTTTATAGGTAGATATATTATAGTATAAAAATGTTATCATGCAATATTATTGAAAATCTGCATGATTTTTCATTATATAAATGTTAATTTTTGTATTCAGTTAAAACCAAATCGCAATTCAAAAGTCTTAGTCTGACACAATTAATGAGGTAACTTTACTTTTAGACTTTTTAAATTTCTCCACCAATAGTTAAAAATTCAACTCTCCTTATAGATAAGGTTTAATGAGATCATGTGATAGACCCAAGAAATATTAAGCTGATTAATGAAGCAATTCGCATGACTAAACTAATGAATAGTTAGCTCCCTTTACACCAAATTAAGGACAGTGCAGCCCTGAAATTTGCAAATGTTCCTTTGTGTGAATTGTTGCTAGAAATATGAAGTTTTAAATAAGATTTGTATTATTGTAGTGATATTAAGATGAAACTAGAAGATGGAAGTATTATGTATGGTCATAAAGTGATATTAGCTTCTAGATCTAAACATTGGGGTGTGTATGATCTAAATGAAGTAAATACTTTAGATTTTACTAGTGAGTATGATAAATTTCTTATTCATTTTTAACAGAGCTCTGTATGCTCAAAAATGATTTTGTTGGTGTACAGTCTGCCCATGATAGTTGCCAACAATTATATTATTTATTACAGATATAAGTTATGTTGTGATACATGATATTATGAAATGGATGGCCTAGATATACATATGATATTGATAGTATGTTATATTATATATATAAGTTATGAAGTGATACATGATATTATGCAAAGGGTATATACACATGATATTGATAGTATATTTTATTCTAGATATAAGTTATGAAGGGTTATATATTATGTAAAGGGTATATACACAGAATTATGATATTGGTAGTATATTTTATTATAGATATAAGTTATGAATGATGATATTGATAGTATGTTTATTATAGATATAAGTTATGGAGGGTTATATATTATGTAAAGGGTATTTTCCGGTTTATACACAGAATGATGATATTGATAGTACATTTTATTATAGATATAAGTTATGAATGATGATATTGATAGTATGTTTTATTATAGATATAAGTTATGAATGATGATATTGATAGTATGTTTTATTATAGATATAAGTTATGAATGATGATATTGATAGTATGTTTTATTATAGATATAAGTTATGAATGATGATATTGATAGTATGTTTTATTATAGATATAAGTTATGAATGATGATATTGATAGTATGTTTTATTATAGATATAAGTTATGAATGATGATATTGATAGTATGTTTTATTATAGATATAAGTTATGAATGATGATATTAATAGTATGTTTTATTATAGATATAAGTTATGAATGATGATATTGATAGTATGTTTTATTATAGATATAAGTTATGAATGATGATATTGATAGTATGTTTTATTATAGATATAAGTTATGAATGATGATATTGATAGTATGTTTTATTATAGATATAAGTTATGAATGATGATATTGATAGTATGTTTTATTATAGATATAAGTTATGAATGATGATATTGATAGTATGTTTTATTATAGATATAAGTTATGAATGATGATATTGATAGTATGTTTTATTATAGATATAAGTTATGAATGATGATATTGATAGTATGTTTTATTATAGATATAAGTTATGAATGATGATATTGATAGTATGTTTATTATAGATATAAGTTATGAAGTGATACATGATATTATGAAGTGGGTATATACAGATGATATTGATTTATTTGAATATAAAGAAGACTTTTTAACTGAACTTTTGGAAGTAACTCTGAGATTTCAGCTAATGTCATTAGATATAAGGTAATTAACAGTGACTATAGATAATCTTGCAAAGGCATATTAGAAGCACAGGTTATAGATAAATAAGACAATTTTATGGATAGATACTTCATTATTATATTCCTGATGACAGTGTGGGAACCACATTGAAACATTGAAGTAATAAATATTCTAGAAGTATCTATCTATAAAATTGTCTTATCTAGTGACTATAGAGATCTAAATTGTCTTACATGTGCAATGAAAATCCATGTTAAAGTGATTTTAAAAAGTTTTCCTAAATTCTTTATGTGTATTAGGGACACTGGTAGCATTGATTTGTGCCATTCCAATTTTTAGTCAGACGTCTGTGGTTAATGCAAATCCACTAAAATTAAGCATTTTATGACGTCAAGCCTTATGTGATACAAGATTAGTGACGTCATAAAACCCTTAGTTTAATTGCAGGAACCAGCACTGCTTGTGTTATGTATTTTTGAAACATGTGCATCAGCATGAGAGTAGCCCTCATCAGTTAGATGTTCATACTAGCTGCATAAATTCAGAGGCTTGTAGGCAATTAATAATGACACTCTTTAAAACTATTTTATTTCAGATGTCAGAAAGCTTTGATATCACTAATAGATAAAAATAATTGTCAAAAGTTTATGACATTGTCAAATGAATTATGTGCTGATCTTCTGAAAAAGTTCTGTAAGGAATTTATGTCCCAGGCACAGGTATTTAAATTTTTCTCACAACAAAAAACCCCCAAAAAGGCAATTATGAAAAAACTATACAGCAGAAGGTGACAGAAATTTAAAATTCTTCCACTGGTCTAGAGATCTGCATCTTATATTTGTCTTCTGTATAGTTTGAGCTCAAGTGGACTGGCAAACCAAAGCATCTTGATGATTGCATTGAGAGATTAACTAACTTCAAGCAATTACAATCCATTGGTTAGTTGAAGATTCAGACCTCTCAGGCAATAATAGAAAGTAGAAAAAGAGCAACAGACAGCAACTGCCTGACATAAATCGTTGGTGATTTATTTATGTTGACTAAATCTAGCAGTTGATCAGATTATCCAGATGCCATCCCTTGCCTGTTCTTGTTGCTCTAAGATTCTGCAAATTGCAAAGTGGCCCTATGCCCCATTAATGTTCAAGATTTTAAGAATCTAGTGTTTTTCCTTGATTTTCAAGATTTCAAAGTTAATGTGTATACTTTGTATCTAAAAGTCCAAAAGAATCCTGAATTTAAATTTCAGATAGAAGATATTTCTGGTGTTGATGAATTACAGTTTGAAGAAGACAGCATGTCTGACGAAGAATCACTTGAATCAGACAACACTTCACCTGTTTCTGACAACAACTCTCTTCATACAGACAACAACTCTCTTCATACAGACAACAACTCTCTTCATACAGACAACACTCTTCATACAGACAACAACTCTCTTCATACAGACAACAACTCTCTTCATACAGACAACAACTCTCTTCATACAGACAGCACTCTGCATACAGACAACAACTCTCTTCATACAGACAACAACTCTCTTCAAACAGACAGCACTCTGCATACAGACAACAACTCTCTTCATACAGACAACACTGCAACAGACAAGTCTCCTGATGGAAGCAACACTTCACCTGATACAGTTGGGGCAGACAATACTTTACCTGATATTGATAAAGACAACAATCTTCTTGATGCTGACAGTACTTTAGCTGAAACAAATGACAAGATACCTGATGCAGGCAACACTGCCTTCAAATCTGACAACACCTCTGTTGAAATTGAGAATGAGGCTAATGATAATGGAGTTGAGGCTATTGAAGAAGTGGTAGAAATAGATGGAGAAATCAGCCTTGAATATTTACCACAAGCCTTCATTGACACATGTAACACCATGAATGGCATTGGCACCTCTAAAGAGGCTTTAAAACCTGATTCTGTCTCACTTTTAGAAAATGGCACGGGACAGGAGCAAAAGTTAGAAAAGCAAGTTGAGACAATGAAAGTTTCTGCTGAAGTGAAACATGAAGATGTCAGTGAGTTATTTCAAGTTAAAACTGAAGCAGTTCCTTCAAATGATGATCCAAATGTAGATGCTAAATTTACAATTCCAAATTTGCCTGTCAAAACTACAAGAAAATCACAGAAAAGTTCCACTATGTCAAGCTCAGCAGATAACATAACTGATAGTTCTACTGACTCTTCAATTGAATCCTCTATAGCATACAAATCCTCTTTGAGATCTGCCAACAAAAAACGCACTACTCCAATTATTAAGGGTCAAACATGTAAAATTTGCGGTAAAAGTTATTCTTACCCTGCCTTCAGACGTCATATGCGTATGCACAAGGGTGAGGGTAGACAGAAACTGGTTAAATGTGATGTGTGTAGTAAAAACTTTCGTGATAAAACAGCTTTGGAAAGTCACAAAAGAATTCATTCAAAGGAAAAGCCTTTTGGGTGTAAAAGTTGTGGTAAAGCCTTCAGAACAAAGACAGAGTTAAATTCACATGTAAAAACACATAACAAACAGCAATTGTACAGTTGTCAAGTTTGTGAGAAGACATATACACACCCAAGATCACTGAAAAAACATGAAAAAACACATTCACCAGATAACCCAAATATATGTGATTTCTGTGGGAAGTCATTGAGGGATAAGAGCTCGCTCAGAGATCATCGGAGGCTTCATACAGGTGAAAGACCTTATAAATGTGACGTTTGTGGTAAAAATTTCCCTAACAATAGTGGATATAAAAGTCATATGATCAAACATATAGGAATAAAAGCTTTTGTATGTGATATCTGTGGAAAGGGATACTACTCTAACAACAATTTACAAGCTCATATTAGACTTCATACAGGAGAGAAACCCTTTAAATGTGATTTTTGTGATAAGCGCTTTTCAAGCAGACGACATTTACCAAGACACGAGAGAAGTCATACTGGCGTCCGTCCTTATCAGTGTGAAAAATGTGGAAAAGCCTTTACAGATGGTTCTAGTCTTTTAGCTCACAGCAAAACTCATTCTGGAGAAAGACCCCATCGCTGTGAGTTCTGTGCAAAATCTTTCACCCAAAGCAGCCATCTTTCTAAGCACCTGAAATTTCACTTGGGTGAGAAAGACTATGAATGTGAAGTATGCTTGAAGAGATTCTTTCACAAGGGACATTTAGATCGACATTCAAGGATACATACAGGCGAGAAGCCCTACTCATGTAAAGTTTGTGAGAAATCGTTTGCTAGAGATGACTATTTAGTGAAACACATGACAATACATGTCAAACAAAATGAATCCATTGATTCTTTCTAACAATGTTCTATTGCATGATTTGGTTGTATTTGTTTAACATATATCACTCAAAAATATTTTGATTATTTTGATAACCATGTGTCAGTAATACACTGTAATTGGATTATATCTCAGTATGAAAGCAAAATGATTTGACCTTAGCCATGACGGACTGAAAGTTCGAAATGATTTGGCTTTTGATAGCCATGTTTCATTGAAACTTTTTACTTATAGCCTGTCTGATTGGTAATCATAAATGATGTGGCTGTTTTTAGTAGCCATGCTTCATTGCTACCTCAAAATGATTTGGCTTTTTGAATCCATGTTTCATTGATACTCTAAAATGATTTGGCTTTTTGAAGCCATGTTTCATTGCTACTCTAAAATGATTTGGCTTTTTGAAGCCATGTTTCTTACCAATCCAAAATTATTTGGCTTTTTAAAGCCATGTTTCATTACTACTCCAAAATTATTTGGCTTTTTGAAGCCATGTTTCATTGATACACCAAAATGATTTGGCTTTTTGGAGCCATGTTTTATTGCTACTTTGGCTTTTTGAAGCCATGTTTCATTGATACTCCAAAATGATTTAATGTTTTGAAGCCATGTTTCATTGCTACTCCAAAATGATTTGACGTTTTGAAGCCATGCTTATTTGATACTCCAAAATGATTTGACGTTTTGAAGCCATGTTTCATTGCTACTCAAAAATGATTTGACGTTTTGAAGCCATGTTTCATTGATACTCCAAAATTATTTGGCTTTTTGAAGCCATGTTTCATTGATACACCAAAATGATTTGGCTTTTTGGAGCCATGTTTTATTGCTACTTTGGCTTTTTGAAGCCATGTTTCATTGATACTCCAAAATGATTTGACGTTTTGAAGCCATGTTTCATTGATACTCCCAAATGATTTGGCCTTTTAAAGCCATGTTTCATTGCTACTCCAAAGTGATTTGGCTTTTTAAAGCCATGTTTCATTGATAGATATTTGGCTATTTGATAGCCATAGCCATATTTGACTGAAACTCCGTGAAAACTGATTTGGATGTAGACACATCAATCACTAAAGAGTTTGAGGGATAGTTAAATAAGACAGAATTCCGGGCCCCCAGGTGTTTTTGGTTTGTTAGGACATTGTTTGTTGTTGTAAAGGACTTAAGAGTATTGAATTAATTTTTCAATTTATTATTTTTTCATTAAAGCATTAAAGCATTCTATTTAAAACAAATATTTAATGGTAATGCTTAACTGGCAAAGTTCAACTTTCATAAAATAACAGATCAAGATTACTGATTCTGTGTTTTTTTCTGTTATTTAACTTCTCTCCTATTAACTGCAGAGAGTTACCTAATGAATGGATGCTTTCTGCACAGGGGAAGTTTTAAAGTCCTGTTTACTGGTTTAGGTCATGCATACCAGCAACTTTCATTTAGTTTGACATCTTGAAGTATTTCACGTGGCAAATGCCATAGGTCCTGATAAGTCTTTGGCTCTGTTAGCCTCTTTACAGTTCATAGGATTATAAACGTTGTGTCGGTCATGAGTATTCAGGTTTCTGTCAAAAAGAAAGGAGGGTGGTTGGTTCCAAGCACAAGTTGAAGGCGGATTGTTCATCCAATTTGAATACCACATATAGTTTTTAGGTACATTCCATGGTTGCCATGGTGATGGGTTGTTGGTGGAATCTATTTGGCAAGGCGATACGGGACAGGTGGTGTCCGGAGTTTCCTTAGTAGTACTTTCTGTTTCTGGAAGAAAAACAAGATTATCATGAAATAAAAATAAAGAATGAATCTGGTCGATATAATTCATGAAACTCCGGTCATGAATTCTTGGTGCGAAACGTTTGACGCAGAATGTAACTGATATGAGCGCCAGTGTTGAGACAAGAGTCATGTTGAACCATCAACGCCGAGATCTCGACGCCAAGAGTCTGCAAGGCAACAGTTGCCGACTGGTCTACTAGTTGGCGACTAGGCTGGAATAGTGGTAGATGTTTCGGACTAGATCCAATTTAGATTGACAAATTTTATTAGCAGAGACCGCTAAGCGTTGCCTTATATTATCAAATTTGTCAAAAATTCTCATAAATAATATATAATATCAATTGTAATTTTGACTCATTAGAAATGTTGGATCGCAGAAAGGATTATTTTAACCTGTAAGACATGTCTGGCTTATGATTAGCAACACATTCGAAAGATGTGTCGGCCTAAGAGTAAGACACCAAGCTCCTAAAAAAATATGTCGATCCTAATTTATGTCGTCAAGTTGCTGAAATAAACTAAAATATCGATACATACCTTCATGAATTTCTACTTTGGGAACAATTCCTTTTCTCCACTTAGCTCTTCTGTTTTGAAACCAAACCTGCAAGAAAATGTTCGTGATAAGTCTTAGACAGTATGATTTACTTCTTTAGATTGGTACCATAGCACATGCCGTACTTTCATTTTATGAAGTTTAGAGTCGTCTGTGATATATGGAGTATATTGTTTAGATTTAGAGCCCAGGTCAACATCAATAAGCTGTTTTAATTAATCTCTAATCAATATTCTTTTAGCCCAAGGAACTTTCACTGAATTTTAACATTCTTATTTCTTTAAAAATATGTTTACTTATTTATACACGGGTATTGGCGAGAAATAACTTTGTTGAACACTCACCTGAACGCGAGCTTCCTGAAGACCAAGTTTTTGTGCTAACTCTTCTCGAGTGATAACATCTGGATAAGGAGCCTTTCTGAATGCCTTCTCCATCTCTTCTAGCTGGTGTGAGGAAAACGTTGTTCTATGTCGAGGTTTTTTAGACATAGATCTATCCATTTTCTCCACACTGGAAACATTGTCAAAATTCCAGTCAGTTGAAGTTGGTAATTGAAATTCTGAAATAATTGAAACAGTTTTACATTTTATCAATAATGTCAAAGATGAAAATAATGTGCTGATATAAGTAATGAGAGAGGAATGTCAGATTGACAATCACTATTGCAGAGTGGCATAATTATGGTATTCTTGAAGGTGAAAATGAAATGAAATTAAGTGAAATTTTGTCAGTAGGCCTTCAGCGACTTAAGTGCATTATAGAATAATTATCTATGGGCATTATAAGATTCTGGTGGGTTTTTTTTTCAAATTCCATACAGTATATAAATATTTCATCGAAATGATTGATATTCACACAAGTGTCGGAGATTTTAAATAAAAAGTTTTTTTTCAAAATGATGAATAACGATTTCATAATTATTGTCACTACTAGGCTACTGTCCAAATATAATGATTTCGATGAAATTTCGTTAAACTAATATTCTTCCTTCATGTTTTAAAATTTCGGTGAATTGTGTTAAAATGTCAATTAAATTTCATTGAAATAGTTGAAAATTTCATTTTTAATTTAAGTGAAATAATTTAAAATTTTATAACACAGTTAACCCGAATTTAAAATTATTTCATTAATATACTTAAATATTTCAATGAAATGAAATGAATTCCGATTAACTGTATATGTTATAAAATGAGCATATATATAACGTTTTGAATTTAAATTTTTATTGAAAGTTGGTTTTGTTGTGCAATATTTTTATATTAGGTGCAACAAATATAGTCACGGTTATGGTCAAAAGATTTCGGACAGAAGTTGTTACGACATGAATCATAGCAGGCATTTCATACTATTCATACTATACCCCTGCATGATAAAAAAAGATAATTATTTCCTATAATAAAAGTTCAATATCGTGAGTGTATACAAGAGTCAGATAATTATAGAGATGTTATGCCAAATATGTGATATTTTACATCATTATTGGGAGGGTAGCAGTAAATCATGATTCGTGTGTCATCACATTCGAAACTTTTCTTTTCTATATTGTAATTCTGCATCGGTTTATTGTGTAATAGTGTTTACAGCTCAACGTCGAGCCTTCAAATCTATGGATATGTCCTGAATTATCTGCGTTTGAAAGTTAAAATAACGACTGTCATATATAGAAAAGACATACAAAAAAATAGAAAGTGAAATTCCTAGTATGAGGTATTTTTGAGGAATTATGTGATATTTGTACATTTCTAGTACTTCTGAAGACTTTTTACATATATTCAAGACTAAAATTAATCCTCGAAAATGGTGAACTTGTCCCTTTAATAAAGACGACCAACATCGTGTACAAGGAGACAATTTCAAGAGGAGAGTATTTCAGTCTTGGAATTTAAATAATATTTCATTTCAAAACCAGTATTCACGCCATGATAGATTGGGGTGTAAAGCAAGGTTCTCTTTTGTGTCCCTCTCTTTTCTGTTTATGTTATACGTAAAGGTAGGCCCCTACTGTATATATATAATTGGCTATATTTATTCGGCTTTATTCGCATATGTACAAGCAACATTTTCTAAAACTTAATTTCCGATTATTTCAATGTTTCAGTCTTCTATGAATAACAAAATTAGTTTTATAAACTCATCAGGTAACTTGAGTATAAGATGAGTTTTTGACAAAATGGTTTTGGTTTAAAGCACTAATTTATATATCAAACAAGAATCTTATCTATTAACCAAAATTTTAATCAAAAGAGAGATTCCTTTCTGGGCGTCAGGAAATTACAGAACCACCAGAATTTTAGAATATTTTCGAGATATTTATGAAAAGAGACAATAGAATAATGTAGGTGTGATTGTAGTAAACGGATATATAATTATTACAGCTAAGTGTTACACTAATAAATATGTTTTATTATGACTCATTAAATAATTGTCTTTTATTACCAGATAAATTGATGATATTTGTCAGAATGTAGCCAAAGTTTTCCAATCTATCTTGCGGTCGAAGTTTGCGTATTTGTGATTTCTATACATGAAATGAAAAAACTTTCGATACACATTCATTGTTAAGAGGTTGAAAAATTAATCGCCGTCAACTGTGTGACAGATTCCGCCACTAAAAGCTGATAACTGATAATTAAGATTACAGTGGTATCAATTTCAGTTCCTTTCAGGTGCTGCAGTTTTCTATTCATATTAGAGTTTTCAATAATTCTTCGCAACACGTGAAGAGTTAATTTCTCAATCCAAAATTATTGTTAATATTCTGAAGATTTATCCAGGTTGAAAAACTAAAGAGAGGAACAACTTTAAGAAAAAATCATGACCAAGCCTGTACAAATCTAAGATACCAACACATATAAAAAAACAAGAAAATGACCATTGATTACAAATTGTAAAATCAAAGCATGTCAGGCAATAATTGAATTAGACTTAATTTACTTAATTAACTTTAATTAAACATAATTCAATTAGTCAAACCAAATCAAACCAACTTTATTAAAAAATATACTGAAACTGAAATTTTTTAAGCCACTCACCTTTTCTAGACGAAGTGTACATGTTGACTGCAAGAGACAGAATCAGATTCTACAAATTGTCAGCTTATTTATAATAGGGTGGTCACAAAAACTAGCAATGAAATGACAATGTTTTATTATAGTCAAGGCATGTACATTGGAAATGTGGTCGAGAATTTAATTGATCCAAAGTGCTCTATTAATTTCGTCATCAGCGCCATTGATAACCTTTGCCTAATAACCACTGTCATTTCTTATTGCCCGCCTCCTTCATGTTTCTATTTTTGACTTTTAACTTTAATTGGGCTTTAATTCAAGACCTTAAATCTGTTTAATATTTACATAATCACTAACTTCAACCTCTTGTCCAATTAATGACGTACCGTGGCGCGTGCCTGTCTGAGGTGACCCCCGGGGTCATTCCAAAGGTGCAGCAGACGTGATAACCACTACCCGCCTGTCACCTTCACACGCGCCGAGTATTGAAATTTATGGTTCACTTTTCATCGGGGTTATTGATCATTAAATTAGAACTGAAACTACAAGTTGAACTTTAACCCCAGTATTTGACCACCTTAATAACGATGGTCATGGTTAGAATAAAAGACTCAAGGAAGACGCTTGAGAGTCCTTTGTTTATTTGTTCATACTAATAATAGACATTGTCCACTTTCTAAATGGGATGTAAACAAATCGGACACACCCCCTAGTAGTCTCGCCCATAGAAATTAGGGGTTAGCCCGCATTGCTCGTTAATCGAAGGTAATTGCCTGTTGATTTTCAAGTGGTGGCTGATGTATTGCAGGTGCCATTATGAAATTCAAATTATCCATGCAAGTATTTAAATTTGATAGGCGACATATATAGACCCAAAGAGTTAACATAAACTAATTGTATATTCCTAATCGAATCAAGATATCTATAGTAATAATAATATATAGCAGTGTGCATCAAGCATACAAATGTCAATATAGTACAGATATGTATGTACAAGGAAATAGTAAAACGAATCTTACAATTTGTAAAAAAAAAATAGAATACATGTACATTTATTCATGAAAAGTCAAACACACAACCCTAAGTGATCAGAGAAGACGATATTTATCTTTCAATAAATATCTGCTTTAAAACAATAGGCCTATATATACAATTATTCTGTGTTCAATGTTCAAGAAAAAAATACCCACAAACAAAAAAATCAAATAAAATCGGGATAAGACAAGGTTCCATCTCCAGACCTTGATTTTTAAGATGACACAGAAATTTGTCATAAATACCGATCATTACAATCTAAAAGCAAAGCTGCTTGCGTCAGGGAATGCTCATGCGTCAGGGAACGCTCGTGCGTCAGGGAGCGCTCACGCGTCAGGATTAGTCAACCAATTTGCCTTTTGATTGTATTTTGGTTAACGAAGACGATTATAAAACTGTCAAAATTAAGTCAGCACTTTTCTTAAAATTTCAATACACTTTGAGAATTTCTATGGGACAATTTCTGTGTATATATATTTATGTATCATAATACATTTTATTAGAGAATTTCTGTGAAATCTGTTGCTTGGCATCTTTTCTATATGTTGGACATCACCTTTAAAATACCAATATATTTTGATCATCATATCATCAACTAAATTCTAATTGACACTGGCTTGTATGTGATCTTTTTAAAGTTTAGAATTTAAATAAAGTGTAAACGTAACATTTAAAGAGTACCAATAAAACACGTAAATTTACATACAATCATGTAATTATATGAAAACAAAATCACAGTGAAAATATTCTATACATACATAATGCTCCCAATTTCAAATATCGTATTCTAATTTATTGAAATTTTCCCCAATTATCTTAAATACATGAATCTCTAACGAACATCTGGGTATACGTTGCTGTTAACTTACTCCTAACACACACCGCATCTGCACGATATTTTTTGAGCCAACGGAAAACGGAGCCTTAAAATGAACGTCTAATCAGTCGCCGTCAATAAATTAAGCGACATAGCTACTGCAAGTCTCTCCCAGATGTAGGCAAGCCAGTTGCTAGACGTAGTTTGTAAATGCAGTTGCCCACAGTCCATTTCACAACAAAATATAATATCAAAGATGGGTTCCCTTTTTTCATTTATGAAAATGGAAATGCTAATACTTATATGAATAGAAAGTAGAGGTGTTCTAATGATTTGGAAAAATACCACTGCCAATGCGTAATTATAATATGTGATAAACTAGAGGGCACATGGGACAAATGCCTCATGTCGAATTTGACAAAAGAGTAATTTTTGCTTGAAATATAATATCAGCTAAATATCGCGTTTATTTGAGTATATAGGTAGTTAACGTTTTGTTATAGGTCTACCGAAAGCGTTGTGACAAAACTGACTCAAAGAAAAAAGACCCTTAAGTTACGGCCCTGGACATGTAGATTTAAATTGCACGAAGAATGATAATAAGCGGTTATTTCCATAA